CTTTGGTTTTAGGACAACTTTGATGAAAGGTTTTGATCCACTTCAAATGTTGACTAGTGTATATATATATATATATATATATACAGTTATCACAAAAATTATTAGCAGCACAACCATTTTCAGCATTGGTAATAGTAATGAATATTTCTTGAGCAGCAAATTAGCATATTAAAATGATTTGAAGGATCATGTGACCCTGAAGACTGGCGTAATGATACTGATAATTCAGCTTTGCATCAAAGGAATAAATTACATTTTAATATACACTGAAATAGAAAATTGTAATAAATTGTAATTTTAGGTTTCAAGTTGTAATAATATTTCACAATGTTACTGTTTTTACTGTTTTCGATCAAATGCAACGTTGGTCAGTAAGTAAGAGACTTCTTTCATAAACATTAAAAAGTCTAACAGATTTCAAACTTTTGAATGGTAGTGTGATTGAACGGCTGCTGAAAATGTAGCTTTTTTGTGAAATTAGAAATTACTGACCCCAAAACATTTAAACAAGTAGTGTACAGTATACAGTGGGTACGGAAAGTATTCAGACCCCCTTAAATGTTTCACTCTTTGTTATATAAGACGTTTGGGACGACCAGAACCCTTCCTAGAGCTGGCTGTCCGGCCAAACTGAGCTATCGGGGGAGAAGAGCCTTGGTGAGAGAGGTAAAGAAGAACCCAAAGATCACTGTGGCTGAGCTCCAGAGATGCAGTCGGGAGATGGGAGAAAGTTGTAGAAAGTCAACCATCACTGCAGCCCTCCACCAGTCGGGGCTTTATGGCAGAGTGGCCCGACGGAAGCCTCTCCTCAGTTCAAGACACATGAAAGCCCGCATGGAGTTTGCTAAAAAAACACCTGAAGGACTCCAAGATGGTGAGAAATAAGATTCTCTGGTCTGATGAGACCAAGATAGAACTTTTTGGCCTTAATTCTAAGCGGTATGTGTGGAGAAAACCAGGCACCTGTCCAATACAGTCCCAACAGTGAAGCATGGTGGTGGCAGCATCATGCTGTGGGGGTGTTTTTCAGCTGCAGGGACAGGACGACTGGTTGCGATCGAGGGAAAGATGAATGTGGCCAAGTACAGGGATATCCTGGACGAAAACCTTCTCCAGAGTGCTCAGGACCTCAGACTGGAACTAAGGTTTACCTTCCAACAAGACAATGACCCTAAGCACACAGCTAAAATAACGAAGGAGTGGCTTCACAACAACTCTGTGACTGTTCTTGAATGGCCCAGCCAGAGCCCTGACTTAAACCCAGTTGAGCATCTCTGGAGAGACCTAAAAATGGCTGTCCACCAACGTTTACCATCCAACCTGATAGAACTGGAGAGGATCTGCAAGGAGGAATGGCGGAGGATCCCCAAATCCAGGTGTGAATAACTTGTTGCATCTTTCCCAAAAAGACTCGTGGCTGTATTAGATCAAAAGGGTGCTTCTACTAAATACTGAGCATTTTTCAGTTTTTCTTTTTTAATAAATCTGCAAAGATGTCAACAATTCTGTGTTTTTCTGTCAATATGGGGTGCTGTGTGTACATTAATGAGGAAAAAAAATTAACTTAAATGATTTTAGCAAATGGCTGCAATATAACAAAGAGTGAAAAATTTAAGGGGGTCTGAATACTTTCCGTACCCACTGTATATGTATAAACTGTTGTGCATTACATGTTGTATAAAACACATGCCCATCCTATATAAACGAAAAATCTCAAAAAAGATCTCTTTAATATGTGAATTATCTCTCCTACATAGTAATAGGAGTACATTATTTTTTTGTTAAAGTCTCCTGCTTCTCAGATGTTTCTCTTGAGAAGACCCCTCTAAATCTCACATCTGCCCCCTCCAGAGTTTCAGAAGGAATCTTAACAATGTCTCAAACTGTGCTGAGATTTGCAGAGACATCAAAGCCTGCGATCGAAAGATTTCAGTATGAACCCAGGCATTTCTTATCGAATTCTCCCAAGACCAAATGATCTGAGCTTTGTTGTCCATAACATATGCTGATTCTTTTAAGAAACATAACTGAGAATTCCTGTGCCATGAAAGAGAAACCTCCAAAAAATAAAATGTTCCTCTGGGAGGACGCAAACTGACAAAAGCAGTCTCTCACCTGCAGCTGTCTCTATATTGCTCTGGACTTCCATTGCTGTAGGTTGAACAGCCAGAGACAGACACATCTGATTCACATCCTGCCTCCGTCCAATCAACTCGCTGTGCAGGGCCTGTGTCGAACAACACATTAAAGATGCAGGGGTGTGACATTTAAACTAAATCACACAGATAAAGCTAGACATTCATTACAGCTCATTCCAGACAATTTAGAGGTGGTGAAATTGAAGATATAATTACTCGACAATCAGAAAGCAATGTATAAACCCAAACATTAGAACCAGAGGGAAGATGTTTAGTGGTCAATATCAGAAGGAAAACTTGTGATTAATTCTGTGTGTTTTTTACTGATAAAGCAAGATAATATTACCAACAAATCAGATGCAATAATGAGCCGCTGACTCTTAATAGTAATGATATAAACAATTAATATGTGGAATAAATTAGGTACTTTACTATAAAATACTGTTTAATTCAATCACGATTACATATATATAAAATACTTTATAATATTGTTTACTGCTATTATTATGTGAGGTCTGCATGTCAAGACAGACTTATTGCAACTGATGTAAATAATGCAATGTTTTAATGCAGTAAATGCAATAAATGACAATGATAAACAGTGCTGTGTGCATCTAAAGGACATCAATAATTCAGCAGAGCAATAACAAACAAAACAATATCACAGCTTCTGTTTGAGGGACAGTAATCAAGGGGTTTAATTATTTTGTATTGTATCTTGTTATTAAAGTAGAAACATCTACAGTATATTATCAAGGGACTGCAAGATGCCTATTTAAAAAGGCAATAACCTGTGCACAGGAGGAGGTGCTGGGTACAAAGTGGAAAATTATAAGACATTATGTAAAAAAGATATGACGACATCACACAAAATGGACTGTAAGTGTTTAACTCTCTTCCTGGTCCTTAAAATCAGAGATGCCTGTTTAACCCGTGAACATACTGCTTTGGCATCCTTTTTGAAGCTCCAAAAAAATTTACTTTACATTCTTTAAAATTCAAGACAGAAAGACTAAGTAATACAGATTTTGGAGCCACAAGTAAATGTCACACCCTCTTCCACACACAGCATGACTGACCGTACAGTAGCCTTGTTTCTGTAGTAAAGTATGTGCATCTTCTCCCACCGGCCTCTGCTTTGTCAGCTCCTCATCCTTCAGCTTTACCCAGAACCAAAGCTCTTCAAGGATGGCTATGAGTCCTGTCCATTTCTCCGCACCTGCCTCCAAACACTCTCTGAAAGAACATGACAGTTTGAAGGAAAGTTCAGGACATTGGAGGTATCCGTTTGTTAATATTGCTGGATATATTGCACAAACCTTCTCGAGGCTACATGAATGTGGTCCACATCTCCGTACTTATCAAGCTCTTGTGCCTCGGTATTCTGGAACTGACTCCCCAGAGCCCTTTTAGAAAGA